TTTTAGAAAAATTTATAGGTTCTACCTATAATGTAAAAAAGCAAGTTAGGCGAAAGAGAGGTAAAAATCTGCTGTCGTGACAGCATTAAATTGCTGCCATGACAGCCCTCTCAAACCAACTTTTGAGAGGCATCATTTTGTCGTACAACCTTTGATAGAAGTTATTTTAAAACTCACTTGTTAACTTTAATAATTACTAGTAGTGTATCAAATTTTAAAATGATCTAACTGTCGGATTAGAATTTGGATACTTTACAAAATCAGACAAAATTACTATCAAGACAGCACTTCTGAACTAACTTTTGGAGTGCACCATTTCATGATCCAACCTTCAATCAGAGTAATTCTAATGCCCACACATCACTTTTAAAGAGTACTATTAGTATACCAAATTTTTAAAAGATCTAATAGATTGATTGAAATTTGTGCATGGTGTAACTTTAGTAACTTTGCTGTCATGACAGCACCTCCAAACCAACTTTCAGAGTGCACCATTTTTTTGTCCAATGTCTGATTGAGGTGATTCTAAATTCCATATGACGATTATAAATATTTTTACTTGTGACCCAAATTTCAAGAAAATACAATGGTCAGATTGAAATTTGGACACCCAGATGTAAAAGTGTAGCTTTCTAGTAAAAATTATTTTAAAAATTGTCCAAATCTTATCTTAATGATCACAAACCTGTGAAAACACTTTGGACACATCAAATAGGACTAGTAGTACTTGATAGAACATTTAAATGATGGAAAAACTCTTTATTTCAAAATTTGACCACTCAAGTGCTATTTCTTAAAATAGACCCTAAGCCTCTAAAATTCACAAATCACATAAGAGTGGCTAGAAACCATTCCAAACATTATATGCACATATGAATATACATAGTAAATATTTTTACTTAGCTCAGAGATCCTCGTAGAACCCACACACCTACTCTCTCTATCCAAGGTGTACATTTGCCCATAACACACAATTCATAATGCAACCACTTTGCATTTTCTTGTAGAATCACATATATACTAAAATAAATATTTGTTTATAGTGAAAACTTGATCTATCAAATAAATCTATTAAAATCATATACTATAACCAAGTTTTCTAGTCACAAGTCTATAAACAGATAAAGATTCATACAAATTCATACAATCCACACATATTCACTCACATATGTATAATCACATTCTATTGATACCTTAATCCTAAATACATTACAATATATTTGCTCAAAAGAGAGGGCTTGCAATTCTTTACAATCTGCAAACAACCCCTAGCTCTACTCCTTTCCCATCCACCACTGGATCTTTTGCCTGGATCTAAAAATATTAAAAACAAAGGGGCGAGACAACCATATTTTCAATAATAGAGAAATCTATATTTATTATTACAAAATAAGCCATAGTCAAATAAATTAATAATAGATTAAACATAACATATAATTTAATTATTCAAAATACATGAATGCATGACATAAGCCAGTATGACCTTTTCTAACTGATAGAATGCCCCTTCACACTTGTTAGCTTGTAGGTAAATCTTATTCTCATTTTTACCTCCACAGATACAAAACATAATCTAAAGCATGATCAAATTCACCTAACCTCTAAGGCATGATCGAGTCCACCTAACTGCTTGTGCTCCTTTAACATAAATCTTGAGTAGTCAAAGCCAATTGCTTTCCAGCGCTAGCCCAACTTACTCTTCATGTGAGGGCTAACTTGGCCTAGGCACTCAACCTCACACTTCATATGTCAGATTTCCTCCCTTACTGAGAGGTGTCAAACACTCAATCTATTAGCCACTTTAGTGCACTGAGCCTACAATACAAAAGGCAGCATTAAGTACTAGTAGTGTGTCATAAAATATCACAAGACCACATCTTTCTATTAGTGAATTCCCACTAAGATCAAGCCTCATACCTTTTTTACTTTTCTTAAGTATTGACCACTTCAACACTCTAAGGTAGCATAACACTCATAATTCATCTCTTGAGTAGTTTTTTAGCCTATCTAAGGTACCAAACTTAGTTGCACTCTTTAAGTACAACTCCTTATTTTTATAACCACAATACATGCTAATAATCTTATTTCCATAAATAACATTATTATTAATAGATAGTAAATATAGATGTATTATTATTAAAGTACTACCTTATAAACTCTTCTAAAACATATTTTATTTGCATTCAATTGTTTAAAAAATGTAATACATAATAGCTAATATTATCTACTTAAAAATAGCTAAACAAAGCAATAAGAAATATAAATTCTCCTATTATCTCAACCCTTTTGTACTAAAAAGGTTTTCCTTATACAAAAATAAAACTTAGCTTGTTCCTTGACTTCCAAACAAATTTCACCAATATTTTCTACAACATGTAAGTGATCCACTTCACTTATCATGGCAAATATCATAAAAGAAAATTATAACTCATACCACACAACTTAGGTTAATGAGTTATAATCTATCTCAATGGTCTATATATTAAATCAATCATTCACATAGTATCACTTAACCACCAAAACCATTTATTAGCTACTACTAAATTAATTTTCAAACTATACAATTTTTTAATCAATCAAAAACCTTCATTTAGTGTGACCAACTGTTGCAATTAGCCTTTATAATAAAAATTAAAACTTAATTTAAATCTTATTAAATTTAAATTGTACAATTACAACCAAATAAATAGGCTTAAACTATTAGATAGTGAAATCTAATCTCTTAGGGGTTTGAATTTTGCCTAAAACTCTCTTCTCTCATCTAATTACCCGTTTAAAATATTATAGCATCATATAGAAATTTAAAACATTTTCCTTAGGATTCAAAGAAACCAAAACTTATAACAATAAAGCCTTTAAAGTCAAAATATAGAATTTACCTCTTTTAAAAACTCAAGAAAACTAAGAAGAAATGAGGAGGGTTGAAGCAAGGAGTTTACCTATCATATAGCCGAGCTCGCAATGACCGCAAAGCTTCTCAAATCTCCTCTCTTCCTCCTCTCTTCTCCTCCTCTTCTCTCTTAGTCTCTCAGTTTCTTGTTTTGTTTATTTCCTTTCTTTGCTTTTCTTGTTTCTCCATTTTTGCATGTTTTAAATCTAAAAATTGAACTTTAAAAAATTGAAAAAAATTACAAGTAAGGTCCTAATAATTTTTATTATAGTATAAAAGCCTAGATCAACTTTGATACTTTTTTTCATGGTTAAAAAATAATATAAAACTAAACATCTACTTAGTAAAATTTGAATTCTTGACCTCTGTCAAATTATTCTTAATTTTAATTTAATTATAGATATTTTGTTTTAAAATAAATTTGAGTTTTAAAATTTTCAGGATGTTATACTTGATGTTTGATTTCTAAGGTAAAGTTTGACAATATGAGTTTTGGGTTATGTTCCTTATATTTTTACGTATGGTTGTAGAGATCTGAATCTAATACAAGAAGTAGAGCTTCTTATTTTTTTTTTTTTTTGTTCGAGGGATTGAAGCTTAGTTTTGTCGCATTTATCTTTGTTCAATTCATAGAAGCATCTAGAAATGGAGTGCGAAGACAAAAGTCTCATCATGTTCCTAGTGATAAGCTTCATTTTTATCGATGATTCTCAAAATGGTGAATCAATGGTGGGTTGGTAATATGGCAGTGAGATCGAAAGATCCCTTGTTGTCTTCTCTATCACTTCATTTGAGAAACCCAGAAGAAAGAGATGATGAAGAGAGTGAGATAGTGAAAGACAAAGAAAGCGTCCTTGTTTTTTGCCTCTGCCACATGGTCTCTAGGTGGATTCAATTTTGCCATGTGTAAAGCCATGTAGATATAACTTGGGTCAAAAATAGCACACTTAGGCAATGAAATAATGTCTGTCCACTCAAAACTAACGGGAGGCATTGGATACTCCCTTTTTTATAGTTCATATTTTATTTTGAACCAACTCATAGTATAGGCTACTACATACTCCTTGAAAAATAGTTGGTGGTTAAATTTACATCTTTATCTTTTATTTAATAGTAGATTGCATCATGTCTTGTACATAGCATAAGGTTTATTTAATAATAATAGTTAAAAGAAAGAGAAAATAGTAATCAAGAACTGTGGGAGAAAATTTATATTAGTGAAGAATCAATTGTTGTCAAAACTGAAATAAAAAACAAACTCAAATAGACTGTTGTTTATTTAAAATGAGTTATTGTTAAAATCTGAATGAATACTTATTAATAAAAGTTTAACCCAAATTAACAAGTATTTATTGAGATTTTAAAAATAAGTTATTTTTGATTGATATAAATTTACTCCAATAATATTTAATTGATATTTTTCCTAAAAGAAAACGAGACCATAAATATTTTTTAGTATAATTTAAAGTGGGCCATAATATTCAGTTATCATTGTTGTTGAGTGCTCCTATGATCCAGTTAATAGAATTGAGAAAATATTTATTTTAATTTTATTTATAGAGTATCTTAATTATTATTGTATCACTTTCTACTTTTTTATCCCTATTAAATATTAATAAGGTTATTAAATATTATAGTATTTTATTTTTATATTATGCATGTCTAATAGGGGTACATTTTAAAATTTGTTGAATTTTTAAAGAGAATTAATTTAAATTTAAATTTTTTTAGTTATCGTAAAATTGTTGAAGTAACTTATAAATAAATAAGATGAAAAAGAACATTATGTGTTTTCTAGTTTACAGTTATAAAGGAAATATTAATGTTGAGCATTCCCCCGTCATATGAACTAGTAATATAATTTATATAAACCTGGTGTGCATTGTATTAAATAAATCATACAACTTATAATTTGCAATTTGTCATCAACTATGTAAGTTTTAGATATTGATAATGATATATGAAATACTGATCGATGAGTGGAGAACGAGAGAGAGGGAAAGACGGAGAGGTCACGATTAAGGAACCAAAAGTACAAATTTCCCGACCAAGGCAGGAAAAAACGTGTCTGGATGTGGTCTATTATCCACCATGGAGAAACCTCATGATGTTTCGAGCACGAGACGTGCAAACACACTCTCTTTCTCGTCCCGACAATTGATGATCCCGTACAGGGCTTCCTATTCACGTCTGTCCAGGATTAGTGCAGAGGTCGAGGAGAGATGAATTATGTGAGCAAAGAGGAATAGAGGATACTTGTGGATGGGTGGCCACAAAAGACAGGTAATTTAGGGTTAGGAAGACGAAACAGAAAATGGGGCCAGGTCCCAAGTCGAGATATCTGAACTGGTGGGTGAGAATAAAGCGAGTGGTTTTGTCAGCCCCACAAGGGCTTTGAATTCGTGGCTACCAAGCAAGGTTTCAGGCAGACGTAGTTGACAAACGCTCATTTATTGTGCCTTTGGCTTATATTAAAAACCCGAACATCAAATCTCTTCTGGAATCACCTCGTGCTCCCCCACCGCCACCTTCCAACTCCGAATCATCTCTTTATCTGATCTCCCTATCTAATCACTAATCAATTATCAATAATCTATCTAAAGCCTCTCCTCATTCCCATCATTATTATCAGACTCACTCCTAAGCAACGCCTCCGCCTCCACTAGCAACAGCCGGCAATACAACACTCATCTCTGAGAAAAACAAAAAACACTCGTACCCACATGGACTTGGTGAGCTCTGTCTTGTTCTGCGCCCCTTCTTTTTTTTTTTTTGCTATTTTTTTATTTGATTGAGGAAGTTCAGTTGTTTCTTCTGTCCGCCATCTGACTTCCGCTTAATTTTGTATTTCTGGGTTGAAGCAATGAAAGTTGGAGGAGGCTTCAACTATGCGAACGCTTTGCGACGCTTGTGAGAGCGCTGCTGCCATCGTATTCTGCGCCGCTGATGAGGCCGCGCTCTGCCGTGCCTGCGACGAAAAGGTACTCTTTTTCTTTGGCAACCTTATTCAATTTTTCCTTAATACCTATGTCAAATTATGAAGCCAGAAAGCAAACTCCACCGGTGTTTTTCTTTTCCTTTTTTTTGCCCTTTCGAGATCGCTGTGTAGATTAGGAGATATATTACAACGATCATGCGCACCATTTCTTTTAAACCATTGATCATGTTGTATTCTACGCATAAATGAATGGTGTTCTATTGAACTCATTAGCTAAAACTTGGAGAAATCCATCTATAGAGAAAACAGGTGGCCATTTGGTATGCTGCTTCGCATGAACACGGTTGGATCGATCTTTCTCTTAGCCTTTGTAAATCTGAAGTCTAAGTTCTTCTTCATGTCCAGTCTTGATTGTGCTGCTCAACGTTTATTAAGCAATGGTTCAAATTTCTAACGGCTAGAGTGACAGGTTCACATGTGTAACAAGCTAGCTAGCCGACATATCAGGGTTGGCCTTGCCAGTCCAAGTGATGTGCCACGCTGTGACATATGTGAAAATGCACCTGGTAGGCAATTTGCACTTTCTCCATGCTTTCCCTGTATCTCATATGCCTTATCCTTATGTTTTGCTTTTGTATCTGGATGTAGCTTTCTTTTATTGCGAGACAGATGGAACTTCCCTATGTTTGCAATGTGACATGATAGTTCATGTTGGAGGTAAAAGAACACATGGAAGATATCTTCTTTTCAGGCAGCGGGTTGAGGTATGCTTCTTCCTTTCTTTCTTGAAATTGTCATGATTTGCCTTTTTTTTTTTTTGGTACCTTTCAGATGCCTTCAAGATTGTCTAATTAATATCTTGTTGCTCAGTTTCCAGGAGATAAACCTGGTCATGCAGAAAACCCAGCTTCACAGCCTCTGGATGCTGTTGAGACCAAACGGGGCCAAAATTCGTTGCTCAAAATAAAAATGGGAGAGAAACAACAAAATCACAGGATGCCAACCCCAGAACAGGATGCTGATGGGCTTGCCAAGATGGATACTAAAATGATTGATCTGAACATGAAGCCTCAAAGAATACATGAACAAGGGTCAAATAATCAGGTTAGGGTGGACGTTAAGTAAACCTTGTCTGATTAATTAGGGAACTCTATTCTGCCCCTCATATTAATGATAACTGGAAATGTCAAAACTCTTGAATGTATTTGCACTATCATCTCTGTCGATCAAGTACATGAAAATATCAACCCTGCTCTAACAACTTCACTTTACAAATACTTTGATAATATCTTCTTGGGCGGCCAGGCTGTCATCTCTAAAGCATCAACTAGTTAAATATGATTGAATTCAGATTGAAACACTGCGTGGTTGTTAACGCACTTGAAGAGAGGATCTTTGAAGCACGTCATGATTTTATCAACCTCAAGAGTTGAGGTTGTTGTCTAGTGAATGAGCAGTCATCCACCTTGCTTTATGCTTGGTTCCAATGTCCACTATAGTGTATATTTGAATACGTCTTGAGAGATAATATATCCTGCTTACCTTGAATTGAAAAATCTCAGGTCCTCTGCATTTAGGGCCTTACTGAAAAGAAAAAAGATCGTTCCCATGATACTGCAGCAACATGCTGTGGCTAAAATTACTAGCCATTATTAAGCGCGCGTGCATGCACATATATTTAGTGGGATTGAAAAAGGAACTTATGAAGAGAATGATATATCCTTGCAAAACATTGGCAAATCGTTTCTGCAGAAAGTAACGAAGTGATACAGGTCTTTTGTTTGTATCTACCTTTAGTAGTGACGCATAAGCAGGTCTGTTAAGTTTCACCTGCATTTGGCCCAAGAGTTTGGTAGAATGATGATGATTGCTATTTTGTTTTTTAATAACTTCAACTTGCGCATCCCTTAACAGTGATATAGATCCTTGTAATATTTGCAACTCCAGTGTATCTTTTTGTGTGCGTGTGTGTGGGGGTGCGTGTCCACCTAACCACAGATATCTTAGATAAGTTCATTTTTCTCCTTGGCAGCCATGAAAAATGCAAGCGGCATACAGCAGTTGACAAGATGTTAACCCGTATATCCATGGAGTCCAAAAGGCATCAGATACTTCTCAGGCATGCTAGTTACATTGTTGGCGTAATCTGTTTTCATCCTGGTTCAGTGGAGGAAGTGTAGGGGCGTCAAGCCGAGCGGTCATTTCGCTTCTGTAAGAATTCAACACCGTCATATCTGTAACTCAAAGCCTCATTAACTGTAATCGTTTGCAGGGAAATTGTATGGTAACTTTGTTTCTGACCTGTAACTTGTGTATTCCACTTCATAACATGCTACCCTCCTTTGGTCCATGGAAATTGAATTTTTCAAACACTCGAAAACTTATAAGCTGTTTAGATATAATAATTATGAAGATCTTTCAATTTCTGTGTTGCAATGTCCTAAATCATATAGGACTGATGAAAAGGAGAATTGAGTTTCAATTCAGTACTTCTTTAGCCAATGGAGCTTCTTTTCTTTTATAATGTCGAATATTTTCACTCATTTGAAAAAATGCAGAGGAAAATATGCCTAATTGAGATAGGGATGTTTTTAAGAGAAAAAGTGGCATTGTTTTCCAGAGAAGAAACTATTAGTTTACTGTATCGAAAAGGACCTTCACGGCTGCAAATACTTTCAGAGCCGTATGGGGAATCGAATCGTTCTCAAATATCTATTTAGCTACTTCTCCCTTTATTCTTCTCGTCCGCACCACAAGAAGTTCGTCTCTTTAAAGGTCTTTTATACTCTAGATTTACGGGTCCATCCCTAATCCCTTTGATTGTGTGAGAAATGGATAAAACCACTTTGGCTTTTAGTTCGTGAAAAAGTATTTACTGAAAATTTATTTGGTAAAAATCAAATAAGTGAAAGTTAATTATTATAATAAAAATTATATTTGGATATATTTTTTTAAAAGATAATTTGATAAATTAAAAATTATTTGAATTAATAATGATTTGTGCTTTTGAATATATAATGATAAAAAAAGATATTGATCTATGGTGATTATAATTTTTATTATGTAAATATAATATATTATAAATGTTTAAAAATGTAAAAAAATTAAAATAACATAAAATTTAATATGCTAAATAATAAGAATAAAAAATATGAACTTCAATATGTTGGATAGAAATTATGTAATAAATAGTTTAATATTCATAATATGATTAACAGTTTAATTTATAATGTACAATCTAATTTTTAATTAAATTATAAATTTTATTTATTTTTTTATTAAAAGCTACATTTAAAATTATATTCGAAATTGATGATGTGAATGCGTGTTGCTTAATAACGTTGCAAGGGTTAATCATATTTTTATTTTTAAAATGCTCAAGATTAGAATCAGTTGTAGATTTTTTTTCAAAAATAAGGGTAGCATGATTATTTATAAAATTAGATATATATTGATTCCCCTCATTAAATACTTAAACTCTCATTTGACATTTCAAATCTATCCCAAAGTTGTTTTTCAAAATCCACATCCAAAGCTTTTTTTAAATCCATATTTTGAAAGTTATTTTGCATAACTAAAAAAATTCCAAACAATATTTAACATTTAAAAATATCAAATGTCATCTACTCAATCGTGCCCTAAAAATATAGGGAATTTCTTTTTTCTCTGGGGAGAAAAATGGGATAGCAAAGAAACCAACAACAATCAAGACAAAGTTTTTGGTAGGATAGAGTGTGGATCTGACAGCGCCATTAGAATCTCAAGTCACTCCTACGCTGATTCCTAAATAAAGGTGTAAGTTTCTCATTGGATTGTGGCTTGAAATATAACACCTTCCATGTTTCGACATCACTTCCAAATCATTAAGAGATTGTTTGGTTTAAAGGAGGGAAGTCCCTCCCCTCCCCTTCAAATTGGAGGGATTGGAAAGAAAGGAGTGTAATTTTATTACACATTGATTGAAATGCCCCTTCTTTTAATTGTTCTTCTTCATCTTTCTAAGCAAGTTTAACAATTGCAGACTTTTAATGATATATTTAACGATGATAATTACTCGTTATGCTTATAATTACATGTTAAAAACATTCATAATTATATCTTCTTAGGAAAAAAATAATTTTAACAATATAAGAGTAAAGTTGTTTATATATAATTATTTTTCCTCTCCTTCCCCTCCCCTTCTGAACTAAATAAGGTAATATTAAAACATTTTTCTTCCCTCCACTAAAACCCCTTCCCTTCCCTTTTCATGAACCAAACAGGTCCTAAGAATGATTTTAGGCATGTGTGTCGTCATTAAGACATTGTCCTTATAGGAAAAATATTCTGTCTATAATGTAAATAAGAAAACCTAGTAATTATTTAATTGATTAAGAATTTTTAGTAACATAAATTTATCAATGCAATATTTTTTAATGAATTTTAAAATATTTAAAATTGATTTGACAATAAATATTAATTTAAAATGAATATGTATAAAGTATTAGGGCCCTTTTGGATAATTTTGAATTGATTATGGAAAAAATTACACTAAAGTACATGAATTTTATAATGTAAATATTATAAAATTTGTTTTATCTATTTAATAAATAAAATTTGTATGCTAATGATTCATTTAATTATTTAGCACATATATATTGATTATGTAACATCATAAAAATTTTAACCCCAAATTAACAAAGTTAAATGAGCTTCAACTAGTAATTAAGGATAATAGGTAAATTAGTGTAGTGTATGGTTTAATAAGGTTAACAGACTTATTGAGTTGTGGTTGCAACATTAAAATTGAGTCCGAAATGATAATAGGCCCCTTAGGCCTTTAAAAGGTAGAAACTATGAGAAAGAAGTCTTTGTGCCGTGTGCCGCGGTGTACATGCCGTGTGTTGTGACTTAAAGGCTAGAATAAATGAAGTGAGCTTTCTATACTACATGCCACAATGCATGGTTTATTTTGCACCACATGCCGCAACACGGCCAGCATACGTCACAACATATGACCATAATTTTTTATTTATCAGACATGAATGTGATACATAAAATGAGAGAAAATAAGAGAGTTTGAGTGAGAAGGAGAAGAACACAAAGAGGGCACAAATTAGGACGCCATTTAGGAGGTATTTAAAGCTTTCAACCTCTACCAATTTCTTAAGCCTTTATCCTTGAACTCTCCTATTTTTTTTTTTGAGTTAGGAAGTTAGGGTTTGTTAAAGAAATTAGTTTTCAGACTTATGGCACTATAGGTCCGAACCCATTAACATAAATAGAGTTAATAGGAGTTATTTAAGATATTTAAACCTTATCAAGAGTAACAAATGCATTTTTGTTAGTCAGAGACCATAAATACCCTAAAGTCCACAATAAATATGGTAATTGCAGTAGTGTGATGCCATTAATAGTTGATTGGGAGTTTAAAGAGGTTAATATAACCATGAACCCAATAAGTATGTTGAAAAGTAAAGAAGTTATGATTTCAAGAATTTTAAAGTGTTGAGTTGAGGAATGACAATTGTGGAAATCATAGTATTGATGATTTTGGTATGTTAAATTGTAGATTAAATTACATAGCAGCGCCATTCAAGCTTTAAGAAGCTTTAGAAGTGTGTATTTGAGAGGTAGACCTTTAATATATCAAGTTCCATTTAGTATGATGGAATGATTTTTAACGGAATAGGTATAGGAATGGGAGTGAAAGTGAAAATAAGTTTTTTAAACATGTTTGGTATGGTAATGGAATGTTAATGTAAATGTTATTTAATATATGTAATTATAATATCTATATACCATAATAACCCTGACTTTTATTAAAAAAATTCTTTTAATTTGTTGAAAAAAATTCATAACGAGATGGAACTTCATTTTTGACCAAAAAGGATGACTTGATTTTTACTCCCTTAATAGCACAATTACATTCCCAACATCAAGAGCAATCTATGGTCTCCTTCGGTGATATGACAAGATCAATCACCATCTTTATTAATTAAGTTCCCTATCTCTAATATGTAGTCCAGCTTTATAGGATCCATGACATGCTTATAGTTTGTTCTTTGAAACACAATCGAAGTTCTTCTCTTCTTACTTGCTGCAACGTGATATGCAAGTTTGAAGTGACAGAGAGAAGGAGGAAGAAGCAATGATGTAGCGATGAAGTTAGAGTGGCTATGGTGAGTTAAGCAGCAACTTCAACTAGCGATAGTGACGAAGTCAGAAAGAAAATGGTGAAGCTGGAGTGGAGGCAACCAACTAGGAAGTGACTTCAAATGACAATCAACAATTATCAACAATGACGAACACAGACTCCCCAGGTACAAGATAGAGGAGAGAAGTCAAGCTAAATTTGGTTTGTTGAAGAATAGATGAGAACCCTAACTAAGGGTAGGATTGTCTAAAAATTCTATAATCAAGGATAATTTGGTCATCTAAAAATCCATTCCTAAGGAATGAACTCATTCCTATGATCTATGGATGGAATGGGTATTATCTTAAATAAGGTAATGGGCCATTTCATGGAATGACCTCTGCCATACACCAAATAAGATGATAAGCTATTTTCACTCCCATTCCCATTCCATTTCCCATATTTCATTGTACCAAGCATGGCCTTAAAGGTTTAAGGTAATCAGGGATAGACTTCTTATGCTCGTATGTGTTAATTAATTATATTGAATTAATAAACCATCAATATAATTTGTGAAATTTGTTTACATTACAAGTATGGTATGTATTGTGGGTTAAGTATTGTGACATAATGAATAACTGTAGTTATAGCAATATGCAAGTAGTAAAGTGATATGTGTATGTGTTAAAGTAATGAGAAGCAGTTAACAAATTAAGTTTCATGATGAAATGATGATATTTAAGCATATGATAAGTGAAGTTCTATGATAAATTGTGATATAGGGTTCAAGTATGATGTGAAATGTTACTAGTACAATGATAATGATAAGCATGCTCATATAGGAAATACTTATACATGATTATGAAATGGTGCATTTGTGCATTGTATGATCATGTAAGGTGAGAATTAACTTAGGAAAGTAGTAGTAAGTTAAAAATTCATGTAGTATGGTCATCATTTCGAGCTTGATGGCTTGCCTAAATATAATTATAACTGTCCTACTTATTCAATAGAGGATTGTCCCATAGTTCATTGAGAGACTTAAACCTACTCTAATTTTTCATTTGTTTAATGAGGAGGCTGGTTTAGGGAGAACGACACCCCTATAGATTTAAGGAAATCGTAACTCACAAGTAAGTTAAGTAACCTTGGCCAGGTAACTTCTCATGCATGAAAGGCTAGGGTGGTCTCATCACATGGACAAGTCTATTGTATAATAGCCTATGGTTTTATGTTAGAAGCATAAAGAAGACATAAGAGAGGCAACAATCATGCACATTTTTGTTATTAAGGGTACATAGTTATCT